TATTATACATAGGGGCGACAGTAGCTCAGTTGGTAGAGCATTGGCCTTAGGGCCTGGAGGTCGTGAGTTCGATTCCCACCATGGGACCTACTCCAACTGCTCCCACTGATGACTGCTGTCGTTGTGTCCTTGGGCAAGACACTTAACCCCACGTTGCCTGAAGCCCCCCGCTGAAAGATGGAGCAGCCATCTTCTTGTGGACTCACCCCCTGCAGAAGATCAGCGAGGGACTGGTGCTATGAGCATTGGGTGGCAGCTCTCATTGCCACCCCCCCGACCCAGAAATGGACAAATAAAGGGGTTGAAAATGAAAATGAAATGAAATGAAACATTATTATACATGTATTGATATATGCTTGTAGTCCTTGGTTATAAGTGTTTGTTGATGAGAATGATTATTAACAAATGTGTGTAATTTATTTTCATGTATTAAATTGAAATAATTGTTTCCTGATCGTAAATCTACCATTTATTTTTTGCGTAATGTTAATATTGACTCGCTTTCAAAAAAGCCCGGATATGTTGGAGTTCTTTTCTCTCTCCCCTTTTTCCAATTGCTTTCAATAAGTTTTGCCTCATCCATCGCAACATCCTCGATGCTTCAATATGCCGTGCTTTGCATTGATCATAGCCACAGCTCATGCAAATCACACACTGCTTCTTCTATTTAAAACAAAGCCTCACGGGTGCTGATAAAGGCACAGCCAGAGCTGCGCGCTGCTGAAGCCGGTGTGGCCACTATTCCGTGTTACGGACGTCTGACGGCAGCAGCCTACGCGCGTAAACGGTTGCCTGGCCTGCCAGACACTCCTCCTTTCTGTTCAAAAGAAGAACCGTCTGGACACCTCTTCCTAGCCTATCATTTCACGATTTTACCCACATCGGTCCAATCACGCACCGAGAGGCGGGACTTCCTTTCACCTTTGAGTTGCTAATAACTCCTCGTATCTTTAAGTTTTTGTTACAAAATCGACAGCAGTCGTTTACATTTGCACTAGCTGACATGCCGCCATCCCTTGTTTTGTGTTTACTGAAACGGCTTGGGTGCCGCTAGTTGCTGCGTCATATCCTGTGTGCATCTAATTGGTTGATGCAGTCTGTCAACCACGCCCACCGGGAATTCGCAGAGATCAAGCTCGTTCCCAGACTATATGTCTTTGAAAAAGCATATCGTTTGGCAGGCCAGGCAACGTAAACGGAGACGCGGCTGCTGCAGTCCAGCACTAATCATCGATCCAATGTTTCTTTATAATAACAAATACAGATGATTTATCCGTGTTCTGGTCTAAATAATAAGTCATTTCTACATTTTGCATATTGAGTACAATATGTAGAATGCATTCTACCTCTGCACTCTATCTATTTCGATGCATATTATTCTTGAATGGGGTTTGTATGTAGCATGTAGTTTCATGGCTTACATTTAGAGCTGAAACGATTAATCTAATAACTCGAATAATTTGATTATTAAAAATAACCGATACATTTCCTGCTGCCTCGATGCTTCGTATACGGTAGTTTGCAGCGTTTTGCTTTGTTTGCACCATTTTGCACAGACTGTGTGTGTTACGCAACGTATTTACTGTATGTCACAGGTCTTACAAGGCCCTGCTGCCTTGTCTTCATTTGAGAATATGAATGCAATAAACTTTATACATTCATATTATTGTATTTAAAAAATGTAAACAATTGTCTTTATTAAAAGTTTTTTATTTGCTATTGTCCATCCATCCATCCATCCATTTTCTTCCGCTTCATCCGTTGCCGGGTCGCGGGGGCAGCAGTCTAAGCAGAGACGCCCAGACTTCCCTATCCACACACACCTCCTCCAGCTCGTCCGGGGGGACTCCAAGGCGTTCCCAGGCCAGCTGAGAGACATAGTCCCTCCAGCGTGTCCTGGGTCTTCCCCGGGGCCTCCTCCCGGTGGGACATGCCCGGAACACCTCCCCAGGGAGGCGTCCAGGAGGCATCCGGAACAGATGCCCGAGCCACCTCAACTGGTTCCTCTCGACGTGGAGTAGCAGCGGGTCTACTCCGAGCTCCTCCCGTCTGACTGAGCTCCTCACCCTATCTCTAAGGGAGCGCCCAGCCACTCTGCGGAGGAAGCTCATTTCGACCGCTTGTATCCGCGATCTTGTTCTTTTGGTCATTACCCAAAGCTCATGACCATAGGTGAGGGAGGGGACGAAGATTGACCGGTAAATTGAGAGCTTTGCCTTTCGGCTCAGCTCCCTCTTTACCACAACGGTCCGATACAGCGACCGCATTACTGCGCACGCTGCACCGATCCGCCTGTCAATCTCACGCTCCATCCTTCCCTCACTCGTGAACAAGACCCCGAGATACTTGAACTCCTCCACTTGAGGAAGGGCCTCTCCACCCACCCGGAGAGGGCAAGGCACCTTTTTCCGGTCGAGCACCATGGCCTCAGATTTGGAGGTGCTGATTCTCATCCCAGCCGCTTCACACTCGGCTGCAAACCGTCCCAGTGCATGTTGTAGGTCCTGGTTCGTTGGAGCCAACAGGACAACATCGTCTGCAAACAGCAGAGATGAAATCCTGTGGTCCCCGAACCGGACCCCCTCCGACCCTTGGCTGCGCCTAGAAATTCTGTCCATGAATACAGTGAACAGAACCGGTGACAAAGGGCAGCCCTGGCGGAGGCCAACATGCACCGGGAACAGGTCTGACTTACTGCCGGCAATGCGCACGCAGCTCTGGCTCCGGTCATACAGGGACCGGACGGCCCTCAGCAGAGGACCCCGGACCCCGTACTCCCGGAGGACCCCCCAAAGGACACCCCGGGGAACACGGTCGAACGCCTTCTCCAAATCCACAAAGCACATGTGGACAGGTTGTGCGAACTCCCATGAACCCTCGAGTATCCGATGGAGAGTGTAGAGCTGGTCCAGTGTTCCACGGCCGGGACAAAAACCACACTGTTCTTCCTGAATCCGAGATTCGACCATCGGCCGTAACCTCCTCTCCAGTACCTTGGAGTAAACCTTACCAGGGAGGCTGAGGAGTGTGATCCCACGATAATTGGAACACACCGCCTCAACATCCTCAGCCTCTGCCTCCGGAGCGGAGGACGTGACGGGGGGATTGAGGAGAACCTCAAAGTATTCCTTCCACCGTCCGACAATATCCCCGGTCGAGGTCAGCAGCTCACCCCCCGCACCGTACACGGTGTTGGCAAAGAACTGCTTCCCCCTCCTGAGGCGCCGGACAGTTTGCCAGAATCTCTTCAAGGCCGACCGATAGTCATGCTCCATGGACTCTCCGAATTCCTCCCAGTCCCGGGTTTTTGCCTCTGCAACAGCCCGGGCCGCGGCACGCTTGGCCTGCCGGTACTGGACAGCTGCCTCAGGAGTCCCCCGAACCATCATGGCTCGATAGGACTCCTTCTTCAGCCTGACGGCATCCCTTACTGCCGGTGTCCACCACCGGGTTCGGGGGTTGCCGCCGGGACCAGCACCAGAGACCTTGCGACCACAGCTACGAGCCGCCGCATCGGCGATAGAGGAAGAGAACATGGTCCACTCAGACTCAATATCCCCCTCCTCCGCCGGGACCTGGGAGAAGCTCTCCCGGAGGTGTGAGTTGAAAGTCCGTCTGACAGGGGTCTCAGCGAGACGTTCCCAGCAGACCCTCACTACACGCTTGGGTCTGCCAGGTCTGACCGGCTTCTTCCCCTGCCAGCGGATCCAACTCACGACCAGGTGGTGATCGGTTGACAGCTCCGCCCCTCTCTTTACCCGAGTGTCCGAAACACGCGGCCGAAGGTCGATCATCGACCTCCGGCCTAGGGTGTCCTGGTGCCACGTGCACTGGTGGACACCCTTGTGCTCAAACATGGTGTTTGTGATGGACAAACCGTGACTAGCACAGAAGTCCAACAACTGAACACCACTCGGGTTCAGATCAGGGGGGCCATTCTTCCCGATCACCCCTCTCCAAGTGTCACTGGCGCTTCCCACATGGGCGTTAAAGTCCCCCAGGAGAATGACGGAGTCCCCGGGCGGTGCACCGTCCAGTACCCCTCCCAAGGACTCCAAGAAGGCCGAGTACTCTGCACTACTGTTAGGCCCGTAGGCCGTCACAACAGTGAGAGACTTGTCCCCCACCCGAAGGCGGAGGGACGCGACCCTCTCATTCACCGGGGAGAACTCCAACACGTGGCGGCTGAGATGAGTATGGCCACCCCAGCTCGCCACCTCTCCCCGCGAGAAACACCAGAAAAGTGGAGCGTCCAACCCCTCTCAAGGAGTTGGGTTCCAGAGCCCAAGCTGTGTGTGGAGGTGAGGCCGACTATCTCTAGTCGGTACCTCTCGACCTCCCCCACAAGCTCGGGCTCCTTCCCCCCCAGTGAGGTGACGTTCCACGTCCCAAGAGCCAGATGTTGGGTGTGCGGATTGGGTCGCCGAGGTCTCCGCCTTCGACTGCTGCCCAGTCCTCTCTGCACCGAGCCTCCACGGACCCCTCTGCGGGTGGTGGGCCCACAGGAGGGACTGACCACGTCGTCCTTTCAGGCTGAGCCCGGCCGGGCCCCGTGGGCTAAGGCCCGGCCACCAGGCGCTCGCATTCGAGCCACGACCCCAGGCCTGGCTCCAGGGTGGGGCCCCGGCCTGGGGGCCCCACCCTGGAGCCAGGCGACGTCACGGTTCTTCTTTTCGTGCTGTCCATGTTGGCTTCTGACTGCTCTTCGCCTGACTCGTCACCTGAGACCTGTCTGCCATGGGAGACCCTACCAGGGGCATGAAGCCCCAGACAGCATAGCTCCCAGGATCATCCAAGTACTCAAACTCCCCCACCACGTTAAGGTGGCAGTCCAGGGGTGAGCATACAATTTGCTATTGTATGTTTTTAATTAGGCAAAAATATGTTTAATTTTTCTTGATTATTCGATCGGTGTATTCGATAATTGAATAATTGATTACCAAAATATTCGATAGCTTCAGCTCTGCGTACATTCTTTATAAAGTTGTTCATGTGTGCAGGTTGGAGTCTGAAAAGGCCCGCGCTTCAGCAGATGCTCAGGCTACGGCTCAGTCCCAGGTGAAGAGTGAAGTGTCCAGGATCCTGTCTGCGGAAAGCGCAGCCGCCCAAGACAACCTCCAACAGTCCATCGTCCGAGAGAGAATCGCCACAGAAGATGAGAAACGCAGGGCACAGCTCTATGTGAGTCCAGCTCCATCTCTCCCTTTTGAACAATTTAATTTAATTAATACGTGGCTTGCCATGGATTGATTGATTGATTGGAAGAAATTAATTACCGGCTCTCAAACCCAACCATGTGATTGCAAAGACCTTAATTTCTCTTGATAAATTGCCAAAAGAAATGCATAGGCAATACTTTTACTATAAAAGGCAGTGTGATGAGTGTGGTACAATGACATTTTATTTACAGTACTGGGACAGAATGGGCGGAGTTAAATGCCACAATTTCCAGATATTGGCGTGGATGAGTCAAAAAAACGACTCTATATGTTTATTTTTCATGAGGAACTAATGAAACATGGTGAAAAGTTCAATAAAGTCAATTTAGCAAAATAGTGAATGTCAGCTACTTTTCAAATTGGGATAAAGAACATTTTTAAACGCGCGAGTACCTATTGGACATGATGGCCCCCTGCTTCCTGATGGAACACTAACATTGTCCAGACGTCACCTGTGTTAGTCGTTCTTAATAGGTTGAATCTGGTTCTTACCTAATCAGTTGCGTTCATTATTCACAAGTTCTTTGAACATTATGGTATTCATCCTAGGGAAGTAATTGGTCAGTTAAACCGCACATATTTCCATGGCAAAACAGCAGGGGAGCCAGAAACCATCCATGGAGCCGTGTCCAGAGTGACGTCGAAGTCTATATTTAGTCTTTGCTATTTGTCTTATACACATCTCAAAAGAGTCATCTGGGAAGGCATTCGAAACGTCTCCATGCTGAAAACCACAGAATACTTCTGGACTAATTTAATGCCTTGTTGTAGATCAAGGGACAGTTTTCTGCCTTTTAAAACAAAAGTATGGTCCCTAAATTTGATTTGGCACATCCTTGGATGAAATCATTCTTTACAGAGTGTCAGCCGTATTAGCCGGTCATTTTCCAATTTGTTTTACCCTTGATACGTGTTGCACCGTATATTTTTATATTTCAGATAATATTTCAATGTTTCAATATTTCATTTTACCAGCAATGGAAGTCAATTTAAAGTTTATACAAATCCTATTAGTTTTTGTTGCTCATGAGATTTGCCCTTCAGTGGTTCATTTCCAGCATTCAGGCTGACATACAGTTGAGGTCATTTGGAACTTAAAGACCTTATGCCGGGTTTAAAAAAAAAAATTGTGGATATCAAAATTGCATGACAATGTCGATCTGAAAGAGATTCCGGCAAAAAAAAATCCTATATTTTATAAAAAGAACGTGTTTTGCTCTATGCCTCTTATGCTCTAACCTGTGTGTGACGTCACAGCGGGCAACGCCCATGCATTGAAAACCATGGATCTATGCCACAGGACTGCCTTTTCTCTCTTCTCTCCACTGATGCCCAACACAATACTGCACTCTACAGGTGACAATTGCTCACTACACATAAATTGCCGTTTTGAGAGTGAAAATGTGACTGAGGTAGGATTTGAACCCCAGTATCTGGATTGACAGTCCATCGACACAACCACTGGATTATCTCAGTGCAAACGAAACGTTACAATCTAGTAGTAATATCAGACTTGCTGTACACGGCCTTGTCATCTTGAATATCCGCGAAAAAGGGCTCGTCTCTAAGGGCGTTGCTATGGGGTTATTTCGATTTGGGGGGGATCAGACAAAAAAAACAACAACTGATTTTGAAACCTTTAGTAGTTCTCTTCTAATATAAAATGGTATTAAAACTGTATTTCTAAATAAATCAAACCCGGCATAAGGTCTTTAAAAAGGTTTTTGTCTTTTGTTCACATACCTCCCACCTAAAAGAGTGACACAGGGTCATGGGTGATGTAAGCTCATATGCATTTTACAACTAATGCTCATTCCCTCCAATAAAGAGAGGGAGCTCACTGGGTTTCAAAAGCAAACACTTTGAGCATTTTACCTCTGTTTAGGATTATTTAAGAACATGCAGTGATATAATTAGAATAATTACTCTAAATATTTGTATCCTTTCATTTTGATAAGGATGCCAAAGAAAATGCAACATTGTAGTTGGAGTACCTACCTTTGAAAGCAAAGAACATATATTATTAAATATAATCAAGGTAAGTACTTCCTAGGTCTCAACATTTGATTTGATTCTGTCACTAGTTTTCACATACATGTATTTTTGGCCTCTGTCACTCGTTATAGTCTGGATTTTCAGTGAAACTAAAGAACCAGCCTGCATTCAGCCAATCAGCTTTCGGTATTCAAAAGATAAAATGTTTTCTAATAAAGTTACGGCAGCATTATTTGGTCTGATTTGTTCACAAAATGTTCATGACTTTTGTTGGCATTTTTATCAAAATAAAAAGAAATAAATATTTATAGTAATTATTCTAAATATGTCTCTGGATGATCTTTGTTCATGAAATGTGAACAAATGGCTTGGGCTTATGCAGAGAGTTGGTTAAGCTTGTTTTGCCTTCCTCATGTGTGGGCATGATGAAGGTTGTCTGTGTCTTCCTTTAGTATGACCTGCCCTTGCAGACAATCCCTCTTCAGCACACAGCCACAGACTGAATTGTTTTCAAAAGAAAACAAATTTCCCTTGAGCGTGGCCTCTGTTTACAAACCTGTGCTATTGATTATATAGCTCATTTCACACGCTCATCGCCGTAATAGAAAAATGAATCATTTTGTGGAGAGCAGAGAGGAGGGGCGTGATTCAGCCTCGGGACAAGTGTGTGAGGGATTCCTCATTGGAACAACGATCAAATCAAATGGGGAGAGATGACAAGTGAAAAGACTTATGTGATGTGTTTTTTTTTGTTCAGTGTTTGGGAAAATCCTGATTTAGTACTTCAGAAAAATGTGGGTTGTTTAGAATCCTCACATCTTCTCTTCTGTTGTTGCTGTTTTAGGTTTATATTACTTCTGGCTCTTTCACATAATTTTCACTATACCTGCATTTAGTCTGAAGGCTCCTTATTTTGTAAATCAATGTAAATATTGTTAGGAATGCACATATGTATTGGCTGAACATCGTTATTGCCCATGACAGCAGTTGGACCCTGACTGACTGTGGGCTGTACAGGTGACTTTTATGAGCTCTGATGAGTGCTGAATGGGTGATTACTTGTGGGGATAAGGTGGACTTTTTTAAAGTGGACTGTCAGCTCTTTGAGAGTCATAATTCTGGCTGAGTCATGTGTGCAAATATGTATAAACCCCAGTAACACACAGATAAATCATAAAAAAATCATATAATGTGATTTCCGGATTTTTCTTTTTAGATGTCTCTGACAGTGGAAATACATCTATGATGAAAAATTCAGACCTCTCCCTAATTTCTAAGTGGGAGAATGTGCAAAATTATATAATATATATATATATATAATTTAATTTAAAATATTGGTGGTATGAATTCATCTTTCAGAACACACAGAAATTGCTCTGTGTGCAACAAATGCAATAAAATGCAATAAAAGCGGACTTAACTTCAGAGGACTGACAGAATCTGGTTGTCACATTTGTCACACAAATTGTGACATAATTGTGTTTTACAGTTTCGCATGGTTTTTTGAGACTGAAAAGTAATGAATTAAAAGCTTTTTATTAAGTCGATGAGTTGTTACAGTCCAATTTCTAAGTGATATAACGATTGTGTATTTTGGGCCGCAGGACTGAGTGTCAGTGTTGTAGGGATGTACCGATCCAGATTTTTAGTCATCTGATCCGATTCCGATATTCTAAATATTGTTTTGCCGATACCGATCCGATAAAAAAAATTCTAATATTTTCAAAGCATTAAAGATTTTGCATTTTTACCTGAATAAATACGTTTGTCGTGTCGGCTAACACGTTAGCAGCCCTGTTTACAGTCACGGAGAATGAGGCACGAGGAATATGTTCACAAGCAGTCTCCCCCATAGTTAGTCCTGGTGATATCCTGGTTTAGTTCTAGTTTATCTCGTGTTTTGTGTCCCCATGACGGCTCCGTGCGGCCGCGCTCTGATAGCCGCACAGAGGAAAAAGTTAATCTCTTGCTTTCGCCGCATGCACCAGGTCTCTGTGTCCACTGCCTCTCCCGCTCCGCACATGCTATACCTCGCACGGACGTGCATAACCATTGACACGGCATTGAAAAACAATCTTTAGATACATGTACGCTACGCATTGTGCGGTTGTTGTTAATGCATTTCCCAGAAAGTTTTGCGGTTCACGGTTGGCTGTGATAAGTCGAGAAGCCTCTGCCTACATCCCCCAGAATGCAGCGCGCTTCTGACTCGGCTTCACTTCCTGTGTTTTTGTCCGGTTAATGTTCTAACATTCTATCGACCCCGTTTTCTATTGATCGAACACGTGTCTATTGCAATATAGCTAGTTGTCGTTTTATCGCCCAGCCCTAGTTTTACATCGTATTTAGTTTACGGCAGCCGTAAAGCGTGAGCATGCTGAAAAGTGACGTAAATCGGCTTCATATTTAACAAATCCGATAATATCCGATCCTTACAAAATACCCATATCGGCCCCCGATACCGATACTGAATATCGGATCGGTACATCCCTACAGTGTTGTTGAAGTGGACGTTTCTGGATGGGTGCCTCCCAAGGCTGAGTTTACACGGAGACAATGTGGCAGTAAAACGGTATAGTTGGATGTCGGTTTCTACCAACCGTTCATACGAAGACTGTTTTCCAGGGGGGTGAAAACGTAAGTGTTCAGATCCAGCCTGCAAAGTGGGACAACTCAGATACGCTGCACAGCGGGGAGCTCTTTCACACCAGCGAGAGGGGAAAAGGTGTGAAATCCCCCTCTGCTCTGACCCCCACCTCCGTGCTGCTCCCCACACGTAAATTTGGACATGCACAGTAGCGGAGAACAAACATCAACAACAATGGCGGCCGGTAAACTAACTATCTTCGTGGGCTTCCAGCACTGCACAGAGGAAGATTCTACACCTTCGTTCGTCCAAACGAGACCACGCGAAGCTCTAGGCTCAGTTTTCATTTTCACAGCTGCTGTGAGTATACTACCGGAAGGGGGGCTGGGGGTCGTGTGAGTGTTGTAAAGTTTCTCTGCCCACTACTGGCCGGGCGCTAGAACTGCATCGTTTTTCAACCTCATGTGAACGCTGAGAAATTTGCATTAGGAGCCAGGTCGTTTCTGTTAATAGCCTGGAAACGTCTGCGCAGCGTCTCAGTATAAACAGGGCCTGAGTCTTATCCCTTTATCTTTTTTGTTGAAACACAAGCTCCATTTTAGCATAGCACAAACTACTGCTTGTAACCCTCAAGGCTAACCTGGAGCCTTCAGCAGTTTCAACAAATTTCACAGCTCTTATTTATCCAATAGTTTGCGCACACAATTTTCTTTACACCTTGGCTATAAATGTTTTGCATCCGTAGACTGGTGCTTCTGCAGAAAAGTTCTGTAAACAAGCTTAACAATAAAACTAAATACTCATTAATATTTATCAATTCTTGGCAAAAGAAATGGTCTCAATCTGCATCAGAGTTTTATATACAATCTTTTTTATTGGTATTGCGTTTGGTTTTAGTATCAAACATTTCTCCCAGCAACAATTTGCAGTTGTAATACATTGTTACTTTTATAGATCATTATTTTCCGCTTGTCAATGTTTTCAAAGCCCACTGTGAGTTTTTCATTTATAGCACTGGATTTTCTCATGATGACCCAATATATTAACTCTACGAGTGGCATCATGTTCAAACATAGGGAAATGAGCGCTACTTCAGACTTTTTAACATTTCCAGAGGCCCTTCCTAATTCTAACACTAACATCATCAAAAGCATACAGCTTACAAAGCATAAGAACATGGAGTCTTCTCCACTTCACATTACTTGTGTGGTGTGCAAATGCTGTTGTGGTCTCTGTGCGCTCCATTCAAACTTTATAAATGTACTTGTGATAATGCTGTTTCAACTACAGTTGAACCTGATGAAATCTCACACAACAAAGAGACAAAGTTAATCTTTTACTTTTTACATTGTACAAGGAGAAAGTCTTGACAGAGGCAAGGCACAGACCCTAGCCTCTCTCAGGACAAGTCTGAAGATTCACAGTCTGCAAGCCCCTTTTGGTAGAACAAGACACACCTTCGTATGCAGATGGGAAAGGAAGAAACCAACACAACAAAAGACACTTAGCATATGAGCTCCCCAGACCACCCGGTGTCATGCTGGAGCTAAAGTGAATTACAATACAGAGCATTCAGCACATAGCCACATATGATTTACCAAAATGATAACTTAAGTTACATTCCAATATCAACTTGTAAATACATTTTCATAAGTTCATTGTGAGCTCATATTATGCCTACTTATTATTTTTATGCATGCCTTTACCAATTTTTTTTTTCTTGCAATTTCTTGCACTTCGAGCCTAAGCAAATATGTATTTTGTGACTTCATGTTACTTATGTAAATAAAAGCAAAGGAATCAGAATACTTTTAAAGTTTTGTTTTTGCTTCTTTAGCAAAATATGCTGTTCCCTTCTGCATCACTGCCCGGTGTCTCAGTCCAATTCGATCAGAGTGTATACATGTACATACAACTGCATTAGAATCAGTGTGCACCAGCACCCCAGAAAGGACTGGTTTTTCAGACTTCAATTGTTGCGCACAAGTCTTTATCAATCAAATAAAATTACTAACATTAACAATTACATTTTGGACCATCTTTCCACTGATAGATGGTCATGTATTGAAAGTAATAATTTGTGTACAGCACTAGGCAACACAATTTGACACGCCTAATCAATGCATTATATCAGAGCTTTTGCCAAAGTGGTGTTTTCAAATGTAGCAACACTTACTATCAACATTTCCATTTGTTGTTAGTTGTCCTCCTTACAGTTTTAAATGTGCCTGCGTGTGATAATACCTCTATTTCTGTATTCTCAGGCTAACCTTGGGTTTCATTTTGCGGGTGATCTAGCCAGGCACAGTGCTGCTGCTAACACTCCTGTAATTGTCAAGTCTCGCGCCTCATCGCAGCTGCTCTTTTTTAAACTAAATTGAACTTTTCCCATTTTTAAAAAAAAAAACACTTGCCTGAGACCGCTCCTATCCATTTCACTTTGGAGAGACCCAAGAGGGAAAATGCAGTTAGAAGTTTGTTGATTGAGTATGTTTGGCGCCCTAGGCCCGGGAGAGATGCTGATGAGTGCGGCGCTTGCTCGCGCGCATGATCCCCCCCCGGGGCCTAGGCACTGGTGACGGCAGAGGCAGTAGGCAAGCACGCTTCGATGAGAGAAGGAGGAGGTGGGGCGGCGGAGGCTTTGCAAACTTCAGAAGGCCGGGAAAGTGGGCGTCTCCGGCTTTTAACTTGCTGTCCTGGTGGTTATTGGTGGATTAGATGTGGGCGTTTTGCTGGTGTAATGAGTAGAAGATGAGCAGGCTTGTAGATCTGGCAGCAGTGGCCGGGTCTACCACAGTGAACTTTCGCGAAGAGCTTCATTTCACTTTGGAGAGACCCAAGAGGGAAAATGCAGTTAGAAGTTTGTTGATTGAGTATGTTTGGCGCCCTAGGCCCGGGAGAGATGCTGATGAGTGC